TCACAGGGAACAAGTTTGGAGTTGAATCGTGACGGGTAAATGGGGGTTTCTTTAGATAGCTGCAGACGACAGACCAAATCCGTCCATACTCCGACGCCCCGCCCGTTTTGCCAAGTTGCAAGCCTTCAACAAGTGTACAGCTTCGGTCCCAGGTAGTGGATGCGGCTTCCATCTCAGCCATGTGCCTGGGCATTTCATGGGTGGGCGGGATCCCATGTGCCAAGCACAGCCTGGAAATAGTCTCGGGGCCGAAAGAAATCGTACTATTATTCCGTGGGGTTCCTTATTATCTCTTATTTTATTATAAACTATAGAATATACTCTGCATTCCTGCCTTTGGATCTTAGCTCCATTTTCGCAAGGAATTTCAAGCCGAGCATGGCCGGGCTGTGATTTTCTTGATAGATGCGGTGACATGCTCTATTGCATTCACGGACACCTCGTAGGATCTTTTGGGTATCATGCTATGTGATACCATATGATGTTATGCTAGACGCTGCCAGGAGCTGTGTAGACTTGCTCGAAGCATTCCCCGCCGTCAGTGGGGCAAAACCTTGCAACACGGCGGGGGGTGCCGATTGTGCGATGGGAGGTGGGGCAAGGAGCTGGTGCGCAGCTGCAAGCGGCACTCTTTTGCTGACCAGACTCGTGCTCAGACCCCAGACTTCAAACACACATTCATGCATGCATACAAACAAGCAGATATATATGTAGATATAATCTCTCTCTCTCTCTCTCTTTGTTTGTTTTCCTGTTTGTTCATTCATTCACTGATTCGTTGGTGCATGTCTTCAGTCATTATTTCACTCCATTCCACTCCCTTCCTCCATGTGTCCATGTCTTCATGCTTATTACAGTTACCAGAGCCCATAAACCCTAAACCCTAAAGCGGGCTTAGAGCTGAGTCGAAAGCGGGCTTAGAGCCTGAAGCCATGCCTGCCTTGTGCGAGTGCGTGAGTCGAAGTCCTAAACCCTTAAACCCCCTAACCCCCTAAACTCCTAAATCGAAATCCTAAATCCCTCGTGTTTTGCAGGCTCGGGGAGAGCGGCACCGACGACCCGCTCGTGGAGCGGCTGCTTGCCTTGCGAGCCTCAGGCCATGGCTCGCCGGGGAGATTTCCAACAAGAGAACTTAATATAATCCGTCACATGCATCGGCCTCAGTGCGGGTTCAAAAAAGAACTTAATATATTTGAAAGGAATCTAGTGTAATATAATAATCCGCTATACTTTACTCTAATGTAATACATGGGAACTTGATCTAGGGAATCTAGGGTTTCGGGTTTAGGGTTGAGGATCTATGGTTTAGGGTTTCGGGTTGAGGGTGCGGGCATATACAAGTCTGTGCAAAACGGGTTTAGGATTTAGGGTTGCTCTTTCGAGTTTAAAAAGGGTTCAGGGTTTGAGGAGTGTTCGCTAGCACACGATCCAGGCCCATACTGAAAAGGGGTTTTGGGTTGAGGATCCCGGGGAGTGCAAGTCTTGATGGTAAGGAGTTGAAAGTTTCGGGCACGAAATCTCAATACTGCTATAGTCAAGGCTTCTGTTTTGAATGACGCTATTCTTATACTATATAGGAAAAGCCCTTTTCTAGTTGTTGACGCCATGTCTTACAGTGGAGTTTAGGATTTTGATTTTGGGGCTCAGGGTTCAGGTCGAAGTTTAAGGGGTCCAGGGTTAAGTGAGTTGACAGTTGGGGATTCAGGGCTCAGTTTGTCCAACTGTGGCTTTTGGGCTTCAGTGGCTCAGGGTCTTTGTGTGCGGATATGCTATCGGTTTAGTCTCACCGGTGGTGTGAGCCATCCGTCACCCAAGACGAGCGGATGTTCGGGACATGGGTTGTCATCCGTCATTTCAGGATTACGGAGGCTCAGTTGGCTGGCAAGTCAGTCAGGACAAGGAACTTGCTGAGACTGAATGAGCAGGCACGCAAGACTCCGCAAGACGGCCCAGTGTCGCATGGTGCAGGTCGATTGGACCCAACCCAAGCGTTTGCATCATCTGCCTGAAGGAAATCCATGTCGCCTGAGTTAGCTCCATGTGTACTGGAATGGGTGTCTCGACAGTAGTGAAGCATGCCCAAATCACGGGCACTGCCACGGAGGATCTGCAAGAAACCAGGCCCATCATGCAGACTCACCTACCCCCAAACTTCAGCAAGAATGACTTCCTGTAAGGACCATATGACTTCGTCCATCGCATTGGCAGCTGGTAGCCATGATGCAACGACTTATTGAACGAATGCTTCGTGGTGATACTGCAGAAGGCGTGGACCGTGAAGTCTTCAGACTGTGTTTGCTGCCAGGCGACGGAAGCGAGGCGGCGTCAGGTGTCCTGGCTGCCGAAAGATCCCCCTCCCAGCCTTTGGATGACATAGACTTTGGCAGACCTCGTCAATAGAGACGCAACCTACATAATGGGATTAGAACTGCCGCAACCGAAAGGCCAACAGATTGAACCAAGAAGCATGCCTCCAGCAAAGAGGAGAACCCTCAAGCTCGCGAGCCCTACACATGGTGGATCGCAGCCCTCTGAGGGCCGAAGCCATGACACGCCGAATTTTAGATTCACTTTTTTTAATTCTTAACCCAAAAACGTCTCCGCACGCATATTGATATCGAGCCCGCAAGAGAGTTCGTTCAAACTCCTTCGACGCCTAAAAACCAACAAACCGCTATGCCTGGCCCCGGACGTGGAAACGCTTGAAATCGTGACTAGGAAGGTACCTACTGCCACTGCGGCTGAACCTGACCAGCTCCCCTAAGCTTCCAGCTGCCCTCAGCCTGCATCCCCCAAAATGTGCAGCACTCAACCCTAAACTCTGGACGCAGCAAATCTCTGGCTGAGTCCGAATTGTGATAATTCTGATAGTGTAAACCCTACACCCGAAGTCCTTCTTTCAACAAGCCGGGAGGAAGGGCCCGCAAGCAAGCAAGAACCATCCTAAGACATCTGACGCTTCATTTGTAACCATGCCATCAGCATGTAGGTGTAAAGGTACAACTAAAAGCACTAAGTAATTCTTGTGGCTTGTCCAAAAAACTGAAGAAAAGAAAGCCCTACGAAGGTTCTGCGGAGCCGCAGCTTGGGGCCGGGGTCCTTAAACGCCTCCTTGGGCCTTATAGAGTTAAGGTATCAGGGTATTAGGGTATCAGGGTATTCGGGTATTGCGGTATTAGGGTATCAGGGTATTCGGGTATTGCGGTATTAGGGTATCAGGGTTTAGGGTATATGGGTTTTGGGGATGGGCAACACCGCAGGAGGCCGGGATGCAAAACGTGTTTGGGGATGTTTAGGATATCAGGGTTTAAGCCTAGCGGTGCGCCTGAAAAAATCATCCTCAGTTTCATCAGGTTACTTATCCGGCAGTTTGAACAAGGCCCCGATGCGAAACGGGTTTAGGATTTCCTTCGGCAAATCAAACGACGTTTTCTTGCGTTAGTGTTGTCAGTTTTACTACCAGGGTTGCTGTAGCAGCAGTCCTTGACCACCTTGACTACAATTTTTGCATTGATGGTTACCTATTCATGTTATTATGATGACTACTGGTGACTTTGAAGGGATTAGTGCGGCGAGACCACTGATGCGTATGAAAGGTCAGCCATCGGGCAAAGTACTTATATCTACTACTGCTGCTACAACAACAACAGCAACAATAACTACTACTGCTACTCCTACCCTGCTACTGCTACCCTGCGACTGCGACTGCTACTGCTACTGCTTGTAACACCGGTTATTGTTGTACATGCTACTGCTAGTAAGAGGATAAATCGGAGTCGCGATTGCACTCATGATGGCTTTTTTTGAATATGAAGGCTGGTGCGAGGGCAGAGATGCGTTTCGTGCGAGCATTTTGGCGAGGTCCCGTCCATCGGCTCTACGATGAACTACCTGGGTGATGCCTTGAACAAGGGTGCAAAGGCAGACACCCTGTTCCTGGGAACGGGCATCAGCATCAAAGGGCAAAAGGAGGGACCCTTAATGGGGACCCCTACCCTATAATGGGCTATATAATGGGTATATCATAGCTATATTAAGGGTATAAAACCTAGGGGTCCAAAAAAAGGTTCCCTCCTTTTACCGTTGGCCTGAAGAAATATTTGCTTTGTTTTGGTGGGCAAAGGCGGGCTGAATCGCTTGCTGCAGGCCTCGGAGGATCTGAAGAAGATCTCCGGTGACGTCAAGAAAAATCTTGGGAAGTTGGGCATCTGGGACGGAGAACCGAAGGCGTATTCGGGTTCGACTTTCGCGATATTGTGTTGGTATTTCTGGGTGTCGGCTCGTGATTGTTGCATTTCGATTTGTCGGGGTTCAGAGTCCACTTTGCTCCCTGAAGCCTCCTTTGCATACACAGGTTGCCCTTCACAGCAAGATTTTTTTCAGCAGCCGAATAATCCCCTGTTCTATTTGCCTTCAGAGGAGAACCGAAAGGCAATCCTCTATCGCTAGGCATTCGCTTAACACTGCAACGCGTGTCTGGAGCCGGCGAAACTACGAACCCCAGCTCTGCACCGAACGCCTTTAACAAAAATCCGTAGCCGAAGATCGCCGCAAACGAATTGCTGAGCATGGGGCCGAGGCTTCCCAAGCTCTCTGGGCAATTTCAGCCTCGCCGGCAAGAAGAGCGGCCTGTGACGTTGTAGACTCGGGGTTGGGCCCTGGCTGGTGGGCCTCGGCTCATGCGACCCTTGGAGTTGATGCGTTTCACCTCGAACAGACACTTCTGCGAAGAAGTCGGATCTCTTGAAGCGATATGACCATGCATGGTCGCACAGACGTCCTGCAGATCGCCACGGGGGTTAGGATGTCACAGTCGTGCCAGTTTCGCACAGCATGTCCGTGCTTGCCGGAGGTCTGGTGCGTCGGCATAGTATGCTTGCGACTGACTTTCGAACCTGCTCACTTTGAACTCAAGTTATAGTAGCTTTGTACATAGGCGATCACGAAAGTGATGCAACCGGCGGTCCTGGGACATTTGGTTTCCCTGTAGCCGAGCGCAAATGTGCGAGACGCGACGGCAGCGCATAGCTGGCATGCTGGAGAAGCAGAGTCGTTGGAGGAAGGAATGGTGTGAACGCTTCTTCGTTCTTGAAGAGGACAGACCGGAGCTTTCGGGCAACAGTTAAGGCATGGTATACGAATCTATAGCAATCCAGATGGTGAGATTTTGACGCTAAAGAGATCCCCAGACCTCGACCACATGTCAAGCCCACACTTCATCCATGACCCTCCTATACCAAGCAACGCTGCTTTGGCGGACCTGCAGGACTTCATCAACTACTTCGTCTCGCCTCCGGCCATCCTCAGCGTGGCCTCCTTAGCCCGCCGGGGGGTCGAGGGGTCGAGGGGGCGGGCGGGGGGAATCTCGGAGGCGAAGGTTGGATTGAAATGTACAGGACGACAGCCTGCGAGATGAGATCCGCGGAAGGATACCCTTGGCAGGCCGTTTTCTGAACGTACGGTTGTTGTAAGGACTCCACCTTGAACTGCTGAAGTTGCTGCAGGAGTCATGGCCGAACCTCTTCAGGACGTGCTTTTGACTCATGGCCGTATGGTTCTCATTCATGGTTCAGCCGCACAAGGGCCCGCAAATCCGTATACCTGGTTCAGGAACAGTAGCCTGAGGAATAGCACCGGCAAGGAACCCCTAAGCCCCCTGAAACCTTAAGCCTTCACTCACAGAGCTCTTGGAGGAGCCTGGCCGGCCCTACTGCATCCGGCTTGGACGCGACATTGTCAGCCCCGGCCTCAGCTTACAAGGCCCCTGCACTGGGTGCAGGTATATACTGTCCGTTACTGTCCTATATACTACTTTGTATGTACATGTATACATATAAATATATATATATATACACACATATATATTTATTTATATATATATATATATATATACACTACCACAATATAATATACTAGATATTATAGGGTTTAGCGGAGGCCTTCCTGAACAAAAAGCAGGAAGAAACATTCAACACCGCGAAGTTCAGCAGCCAGCCGCGGAAGTGTGGATTTGAAGTCGACGATGACCACTGATAGTCTTGAAGACACCGAAGACATCGCCGCAGATAGGGGCAGCAGAATGCCGCCCTCTTGGCAGCCAGCCGCGGAAGTGAACATCCTTGAGGGTAGCTGCCCTAAGCCCAATAAACCCCAAACCTCTCTTTTCGTCCTTGCGAAGTAGGAGGGGGAAATTTCTTTCCTCCCGCGACGGATGCGGCCAGCAATTGCAGCGGTTTAGGGTTTAGTTTAGGGTCAGTTGTTGTCCATCCCTTCGTCTGACAGTGGAATTCGTCAGTCCGCTTTGGCATCGTAAGATCAGGAGCTGGCTGTAGCTAGTAGTGCTGCAGCTTGGCGCGATGCTGTTGTTGCCGCTGTTGCCTGTCACCTTCCCCGGCCGACTTCCAAGCTCGGATGCAAGAGGGGCTCTTCTGATGCGAGGATCTCCCAGGGTGTCGTGAAGATCTTCGGACAAACCTGGACAGATCGCCAAAAGCTTTCATTTTTTTTGAAATTTTTCCACGGGCTTTGTAGCAACTAACCCGCGTACATTTGTGGGGTCGGCCGAAGGCTTCAGTGGTCTTCCAAAGGCTTTCAGTGCTTTCCCAAACGCTGAACTCGAAATCCCAAAGCGGGAGCAGGTTGCAAGACAGAGCCGGAGCAGCAGTGACACAGCCGCAAGATGGGGCGTCGTAATCAGGAGTCAGTGAGCCAGAGGGGTATAGAGCACAGGGCTTGGGGTTTACGGTCGAGAGGTGTAAGGGGTTGAGCTTCTGCCGGAACTGAAGACCCTGAGTTCTGTGGTGTTGAGTTGCTCGGTTTCTTCTGGGCCTCGTACTCATGTGCCTTGTGGGCCGCAGGCGCGCCGCTATTCAGCAGTGTGTGAGGTAAGGCTCCAGGAGGGGCTCGGGTTTCTGGGAAGGGGTGAACGTATCATGTATGGGATTCCACATGAAGGTTTCTGTCGACTCTTGAGGCTTTCCGAAAAGCCCTCATCCAAGTTGTGCCCACGCAGCCACCGAGGAAGTGGCTCCAAGCAATCCGTGCCGCTGCGCATGTTGAGGCGACATGCCGAACAGGCGCTTCACAGATTGAGAGAGGGTTACTATTATCGCAATGACTATTACTATTACTATTACTATTACTATTACTATTACTATTATTATTACTATTACTATTACTATTACTATTACTATTACTATTACTATTACTATTACTATTACTATTACTATTACTCGCGGGAATCCGACAAGTGGGAGCCAAAAACCATTATACTATTACTATTGCTATTATTATTACTATTACTATTACTATTATTATTACTATTACGATTACTATTACTATTACTACTATTATTACTATTACTATTACTATTACTATTACTATTACTATTACTATTACTATTACTATTACTACCCTGCATCGTAGGTTCGTCCTAGCCAGGCGGGAGGCAAAACTATTACTATTACTATTACTATTACTATTACTATTACTATTACTATTACTATTACTATTACTATTACTATTACTATTACTATTACTATTACTATTACTATTACTATTACTATTACTACTATTACTATTACTATTACTATTACTAGCCCGGAGCCCCGCGGTGGACCCACCTTTCAAGAAGAATAGGAATGTCCTTTGCTTGCTGCGAGTGTTGAAAGTACTGGTTTTGCCGTATGTTTCCATACTTGAGTGCACTGCTCCATTGAGTTGCTAAACCCTGTTTTGGGGGACCAGCTCGGGTCTCCAAAACAGTCATTTTGGGCTTAAAACTGGCGTTTTGAACCACGCGGATGACGCGTTTTTTCTTCACCCCTCCTGCGTGTCGCTATGGCGCATGACGTCTCCGAGCATACGCCACAGCAGGTCTTGCTGGTGATTCCAGTGCGTCCACTGGAACTCACGGACCCGAAGCTCAACGGGTTTTTTGCGCTGGGCAGAAACCGCGTGGAGACTTTTGTCATCATTGCGGCATTGCCGCAGAAGCAAAACTGCGGACAGGGCCACAGCAAGAGGAGGACTCATGGCTGCGACAAAGCATGCAGTGTTCAAGACCCATGCCGTGCAGTGTTGAAGACTCAGGCCGAACAGGACGTCATTTAGCTCCCCCCTCCACCCTCCCCCCAGTCCATCGAAAATTTGCATTAAGCCCCACCCCACCCAGCCCACCACCCCCACCCCACCCCCCCACCCCACCCCCCCACCCCCCCCCTCTCGAGTCGATCGGAAATGTGCGTGACAACATCCAACATCATCTTCGTCATCATCCTCAGCATTTCATAGTGATAATGAATGGCTTGAAACATGCACGGGAGGTGGGTCCAGGAAGGGGCACCGGCCTATTACTATTACTATTACTATTACTATTACTATTACTATTACTATTACTATTACTATTACTATTACTATTACTATTACTATTATTATTATTATTATTATTATTATTACTATTACTATTATTATTATTAGTAGTAGTATAAGTATTAGTATGGTCCACTCTTTGGGTTCTATGCCTGGAGTGTGAAGGCATGGGGGGCTTCTCCGTGAAACTTCGGCAGACAGTTGAAACTGGCTAGTAATAGCAGTAGCGGTGGCTAATGCAAACCTACGGTTACCTCGCAGCCTGACAAAGCAGCATGCGGGAGTCTGCTCCAGGGAAAGTGCTATAGCGATGATGATCCGTTTGGTGATGATGGTGGCATGGTGGTGGTGGCGGTGGCGAGGTCAGATGCATGTCGTGGGAGCATGTGGGAGCGGGAGAATCTTGCAGCAGGGAGTGTGCAAGGGAGTGTGCTTGAATCTCAGTTTCTGCTCTTCCTTGCAGGCTCCTTCGCTTCGACTGCAGACCACGAAATGCCAAGGAGCCTAGAGCCGCGTGTTTTTAGAGGGTAAAACCTTCCCCCAGCCCACCCGGAAGCCAGGAGCTTGAATGGGAGCGCCCACGAGGGGAGGAAGCCTCGAGAGTGCAGTGGCCAGCAGGCTGGGAATTGACTGCTCCAGCTCGAGTTCCTGCATCGGTTTTGGCATAGCCCAATGGCTGTGTTCCGTCTGCCGGCTGACAGGTGACTGAGTTTGTGAGGGAGAGAGGCACAGAGACACCTTGTACACATCCACAAGGCAGACGTTGCAATGGATCTGGATCCAGATCTAGCCTCGGCGGAGGATATTGTCTCAAATTGTAGGCAAGCGTCAATAATTGGTGCACGCAAGTTTTGAACAGAGGGTGAATTGCATTGACGATGCTGTCATGCGGCGATAACCGCATCGTCAGGGCTCAAGCATTCCAGACGAGCACGAGGACTTGCGTTGCTCGAGACCCCCGTCTCAACTTCGACTGATCTTGGGGAACCAAGTCCGAATACAACTACGAACGCCAACTCGGTGTTTTGTTGATCTCAAACACGATGCATGCCGCAGCCGTGCTGCATGCAGGAGAGGTAGTAGTAGTAGTAGTAGTAGTAGTAGTAAGTAGTAGTAGTAGTAGTAGTAGTAGTAGTAGTAGTAGTAGTAGTAGGAGTAGGAGTAGGAGTAGGAGTAGGAGTAGGAGTAGAGTAGGAGTAGGAGTAGGAGTAGTAGTAGTAGTAGTAGTAGTAGTAGTAGTAGTCGTCGTAGTCGCAGTCGCAGTCGTAGTCGTAGTCGTAGTCGTAGTCGTAGTCGTAGTCGTAGTCGTAGTCGTAGTCGTAGTAGTAGTAGTAGTAGTAGTAGTAGTAGTAGTAGTAGTAGTAGTAGTAGGAGTAGTAAAAGTAGGAGTAGTAGTAGTAGTAGTAGTAGTAGTAGTAGTAGTAGTAGTAGTAGTAGTAGTAGTAGTAGTAGTACGGTTGATGATATAAATCCTGCACTATCTTAAGGACCCTAAACTATGGGAATTATGGTATATTCCGTATGGGAAATGCAGGATTTTTATCATCAACAGTAGTAGTAGTAGTAGTAGTAGTAGTAGTAGTAGTAGTAGTAGTAGTAGTAGTAGTAGTAGTAGTAGTAGTAGTAGTAGTAGTAGTAGTAAGTAGTAGCAGTAGCAGTAAGTAGCAGTAGCAGTAGCAGTAGCAGTAGCAGTAGCAGTAGCAGTAGCAGTAGCAGTAGCAGTAGCAGTAGCAGTAGCAGTAGCAGTAGCAGTAGCAGTAGCAGCAGCAGGGGTAGGAGCAGGAGCAGGAGCAGAAGTAAGAGCAAGGCGGAGTAGTAGAAGGAGTAGGAGGAGTAGGAGTAGTAGGAGGAGTAGGAGGAGTAGGAGGAGTAGGAGGAGTAGGAGAAGTAGGAGAAGTAGGAGGAGTGGAGGAGTAGGAGTGGCAGCAGCAGTAGAAGTAGAAGCAGCAAGAGCAGGATCAAGAGAGCAGCAGCAGCAGCAGGAGCAGGAGCAGGAGCAGGAGCAGGAGCAGGAGCAGGAGCAGGAGCAGGAGCAGGAGCAGGAGAGTAGTAATAGTAGCAGTAGCAGTAGTAGTAGTAGTAGTAGTAGTAGTAGCAGCAGCAGGAGTAGTAGTAGTAGTAGCAGCAGTAGCAGTAGCAGTAGCAGTACTAGCAGCAGTAGCAGTAGCAGTAGCATTAGCGGCAGGAGAGTAGGACTAGAAGCAGGAGCAAGAGAATAATGCCACCAGGAACGGATGTGTGTGTTTGTGTGTGTGTGTGTCTTGATAACCACCTTCACCATCGTCATGGTCGCCACACCTTCATCGCCGTCGCCATCGCCATGCCCATCGCATCACACTAGCAGTCGCCATCGTCATCTTCGTCGTCATCGTCTTCGACTAGATCCTCACAGTTTTTTCGTCGCAACGAGCATGAATCAAGAATATATCAATGTGTAAAGTTACGTAGATGCAACGACGGTAGATCTACATGCGTTTCCGTTTTGGTCTCTCTCTCCTTGTCCCGCTCTCTTTGTCTAGTAATGTGAGAAAGAAGTCACCGGAGCCCTGGCGAAGGCGGAATTGATCCTCCTGAACCCGGAGGGCACCCAGAAGGCCAACGGCCTGGGGTCCAGTTCTGTGGGGTTCAGTGCCTGTGTGTGTTCGTCTGCCTGCACAGCTTCTTCTGTGTGTGTGTGTGGGGTAAGTTTCTCGCTTTGTTTCCAGAAGTACGTACGCACAGACGTACGTACGTACATGAGTCTATACAGACCTACACATACGCATATGTGTTGAAGCAAGAGCACACAGACAGACCGAGCGCAGGTGCTACAATGGCGGGAGCCGGCGACCGTGCAACTCTCCTCGTCTCGCCCGGCGGTGCTGCTGGTGCTGGACAGCTTTGGGCTGCCTTAAGTTAGGTTTAAGCATTCATGGTAGTGGTGATGGCGAGAGCCATCAAGAGAAGGGGAGAAGAACAAGAAATTAGTACATTCAGAATGATAATTGCCGACAGTGGCTTCCGAACAGTATCAGCGGGAGCACAGGAGGTATTCCCTCTTCGACTGCACGTGCTCCGATTGACGCTCCCCATGCTGGTATATTTCCTCGTCGTCAGCTTTATCCGCTTCCAACAGACTCCTGAGGATCATCACGGGTGTCTAGACTGTTTTATTAGATCTCGGTCTCGCTCTCTGCCTCTGTCTCCGTCTCTGTCTCTGGCTCCGTCTCTGTCTCTGGCTCTCTCTCTCTCTCTCTCTCTCTGTCTCTGTCTCTCTCTCTCTCTCTTTCGCTCTCTCTCCCTTCTCCTCTCCTCTCCTCCCCTCCGCTCCCGTTGCCCCTCCCCTCACCTCCAGGACGCCTGATTCGCGATGCCCTGGCAGGACCAATCCACATCCAGCAAGGACCGGCCATCCGGTCAGACGCGGGCTCCTCGCCTCGAAGTTGCAGCTTTTGGCAGGGAGCCAATACGTTCATCGACACGACATTGTTGTTTGCTTTTTTTGCATGTTTTCTTCTTTGTTTGATTGTTTGTTGGGTGGCATGAACACTGGCAGATCTTTGTTTGAAAGAACAAGCTTTCGCTCTGGAAGGGATCTTGCAAGCCGAGATGCATTGAAAGCTCCCCTACTGATCTTAGCCTGGGCAGATGTTTGTGCGTGCCAGGCTCTTTGCCGACTCGCTGCCGACCGCTGCGTGCCTGGGTGCCACAACTTCCCGGTCCCTGTGCATGCAAGGATCAAAATCTTACAGAAGACCGTTTTGTTTCGGCAGGTTTAGAACTCGAAACACCCAACCCAATATGACCACGCAGCTGCCATTGTAGATCCGGGCCCGACACGCAATGCAAAGCGGACGACTCTGCTGTCTGGGTCCGCGCTGGATTGAAGAGCTTCTGCACTAAAGCGGTGGTCTGCCCCGATCCTTAAAGTCAAAAACTGCCCTAAACCCTATCACGTCGGTGCGAGTGTCGAAACCTTACGTCAGTCTCTGTAAACTTTTCGCACATCCGACCTACCCGACCGAGGTCGAGCCGCTGGGGAGGAGCTGGGATTCCCAGCACAGTGCGAGCTCAAGCTTGGATGGTTCACGTATGAGAGGTCTGGGTTCTGAGGGATCTGTATGGTGGGTAGCGACTGGCAGACAGCTCTGAGCCCTAAGCCTGAACCCCGAGCCCGTCAGCATTTCTCCAGAGGTTTGGTTTCCGTCACTCTTTCTGCATCGTTTTCTTGGTCTTCAGGCTTCGAGGGGATTGACCTTTCAGGGTCTGAGCAAGAAAGGTTCCTTGAGCCTTGGCTGCTGTCTGCCTCCGCGCGAATAGCTAAGGCTCATCCTCCGAAGCAGGCGAGTGCACACTTCGAGCGGCCCGGCTGCAGCTTTGGCCCGGCAATGGCGCCCGAGGATCGGATTCGCGCATGTGTTTGTTTCTGGAGTTACAATATTTCTCTCAGGTGGAAATCCTCAGCAGCAGCATTCTCCATGCGGAAATGTGGAGGAGTTCTGCATCATCCTTTGGAGCTCTGGGCCGTGACCTCGGGCACGGTGCGGCGCGAGTTTCCGCAGTCGCGTCACCCGAATACAGAAGGCCTAGGGCCTAGACGATCGAGGCTCTGGCAGGGTGTTGCATAGCAGCCTGTGCTCGGCGCAAGACCCTGCAGGCAGTTCCTCTAGTCAAAGATGGCCCGAGCAAGTTTTTTTCTCCGGAATGTGGTATCACGGTATGTATCATTGCAGGGACATCCACTTGTATTGCGTCACAGATCTCAAAGCTAATCCGAAGGCATAGTTGTGTATTGTCAGTTTTGTTACCCGTCCGGGTAAGTACTGCTCCGACGTATGACTTCATGCATTGTGAGTCGTTCCTACTAGGTTGTTGGAGTACATCCTAAGGCAGCTAGGCTTTCGTTGTTTGTAGTTTGTCATGTGTGTATATATTAATGTATGTATATATATATACACATGTATAAACATACGTATTGGTATATGTAATATGCATATGTCTGTATGTGTATATGGTGATGGTATGTATACATGCATATGCTGAATATATATATATATATATGCATATATGTATTTCCGTATATGTATGTGTATATGTATATGCTGCCACCCGGTACTATGGCCAGCAGCGCAACAGTGTACACGACGATGTCTTTGCACGTTTTGCAATATGTCCTCGCTGTACATTGTTTTTTAGACTTCACCTTGTTGTATCGTGCAATATGGTGGCTATACCTTACTTGGTCTACATGTTTAGATATAGATATGTTCCCAGACACTCTGGTGATTTTGCTGCTGCTGCTGCTGCTGCTGCTGCTGCCAGTATTCTGATCCTCTTGCTATATCTGGAAGCTTGAAGCTGATAGTCTTAGGTGCAGCTTGCCTCCTCATCTGGTGGTACAGCGCCTTCGTCTATGCCGCGGTGCCCTCAGCGACGCTATGCTTGGCCAAGCCGTGCCTCTCCCCTTCCCTTGCTAACTTGGAAACCATATCTTTTACGATAGATCCCATCACTATGGTATTCATGTCATTTTCACTCCTTACCCGCGCGCTGAGGTTGCGGGCCTACCGCTGATGTTCTATTCGCTCCAGTCTCTCCAGCGAGCACAGCATGTCACATTTAAAGAGCCTCGGCCTGCAGCCCGGCTTCCTCCTCTCCGTCCGGGTTTGCTTTGAGACGCGACTTTGAGACTGGGCTTGAATGGTTGAACGTTCAGGATCTCCGGACTGGCTCCTACACTTTACAGATTCCTCAGGAAGTGCCGACAGCCGTTCCCTTCCGATCTCAGGCTGAGCAGCTGGTGAGAGCTGAGCGTGGCTCGCGTGAAGCCGCTTGGCAGTCCTCTGTGGCCCCAGCAGCCCCAGCATCGGGCATCCAACTCAACTGAGATAACTTTCTAAGCTGCCGACTCTGAGACACGATCATGGCTCAACGAATTCTCTCTGCAGCTCGAAGCCAGAACGCCCGAGAAGTCGTGAGTCTATGGTTATGATTATGCTAATTATGGGTGTTGGCATTGCGAGCACAGAAGGTCAGGCCACATACACCACACCACGTTTTCGCTCAAATCAAACTTGGTAATGCTGAAACCTCGAAGCCCCAAACCCCTACATCCCAGTAGTAGAAACAGAAGCTGCAGAGTTCTCCTAAACCCTTTCTCCCCTCATGCCGGATTGGCCCTGCCCTCGAACAAATATTCCGAAGCCAGGTCCCGAGCCCTGCGCGGAGCCCTTCCAACAGCGTCCTGCGGGAGCCAGCGCCACGGTGGTCCGGCACCTGGATCCTCGACCCTTGGGTCAGCATTACGGTTCACGGCTTTAGGGTTGAGCTTGTTCGTCCTGGCGGAGTCGCAGCAGGCCAGTTGCAAAAGGGTTGAGCGTGGAGGCGGGATTCATTCAAGCCTGTGCAAAAAATTGGTGGTCCCTGTAAGGTCAGGGACTGTCTCGGGGGTCTTTACAATCAGGATCCCAGTCTCCCACACCTGCATTGAGGCAAGGGGTCGTGTTTGGGTTTGGTTCTCAGGGTCCTTCGGATCAAGGGGTCGAGAGTTGCGACAGGATGAGGATGCCGACAGGGGTGGCGAGTGATGGGGCTCGTGAAGCAGAAGATATCAAGATCATAGCTAAGCCCTAAAGCGTAAACCGCAAAGATGATGAAAACCGTAAAGATGATTTAAAACAGCCGTAAAGATGATGGGGCTTGCGGATTGAGGGGTCGGTGTCAGATGGCTGCAGCTCTGTCTGGATGCTGGTGTCGGGCCCTGGATCTCACTGAACGAAACGGACTCTTTTCTTGTAGTCTATTATGGTATTATGGTATTATGGTATGATAGATGTCTTGTAAGAGTATCTTCTAATAATATCTTACGCGAGTATCTTACACTAGTATCTTATAGTATATGCCAGTCTGTTATGGTATATTCTTCCAAGCTGCTCGGAGGCCTAGTCACGGAGGACTGGTGTTGCAGCCGCTTTAGAAGCTTTCCTGAAGTTTAGGCTCCTTTAGGGGTTTTGTAGGGCCCATATACCTCTCAAATGAAGGAATATATAATATATAATATGTAATTAATATATAATTAATTTATAATATATAATATATAATATATAATATATAATATATAATATATAATATATAATATATAATATATAATATATAATTTTAACGCTACGCCGCCCGCCTCGGCTGTGTAGCGGCAGGGTGAGGGGGCAGTCGATGTTTTTTTATGCTAGGGCGGCCTGTCAAACCCGGTTGTTGATACGAAGTGCGAGGAATGGGTAGGGGAGGGGGGGGAGGAGGGGGGGAGGGAGGGGGAAGCGGGGGGGGAGAGGGGGAGGGGGGGGGGAGGCCTGGGAGGGGGGGGGGGAGGCCGACAAATCAGGTAAAATGAGGGGAAGCCGGGCAAGGGGGCAAAAAGCGGGTGTCCCCAAACATTTGGAGCGCAGGGAGGAGGATTAGGTGGAGGGAACCTGAGCTAACCCCCAAGACGCCTGGGCCTGTGGCCTCGGCGGATATATAATATATAATATATAATATATAATATATAATATATAATATATAATATATAATATATAATATATAATATATAATATATGATATATAATGTATAATACATAATATATAATATGTAATATAATGGAGATTGAGATGTAGTGAATGGGACCACCGCCTGGATTTCTGCGGGTGTTCGTCGGATACAAGTGGAATCTTGTGAACTGTCCATGGTGTCCCGGACGGGTTCACGCTCGATCAAGCCATAATACCCTCTGCACAGACTGAAGCAAGACGGAGACTTTGAGCGCAGAGGCCGGTTCCGATTCCGGTGATACGCGCCCTTGTGCCACTCCATGAACTGACGGAGCAGAGTGATCCTTCATGTCATCATCCAGACGTGGAGTGTGTAGCAAAGGAAGGACCGGCAACGTGCAAACCGCACGGCTTCAGCAGCAGCTCTTTGCCGTTCTTTGCCTAGGCTGTCACCTTGTCGAATTGCTGGCCGGGGGGAATGCCCGACACGCGCCCGATCCCAGGGGAGTCTTGAGCTTGGCTGGTCAGGGAAGTGCGTCTTCCGAACTGGTTCTTCTCTCGCACAGGGGGAGCAGCCTTTTGCAAAGACGCTAGAGCAAGGCACCAGGCAAACTTCAGCGCAACCGGGCTTCATTGTAGCCCAGGTCTTGTTTTCAGGTTGTGCCAAAGTCGCATCGAACAGGGTGATGGTTGAAGGCAGCAGGAGTAGGTTCAAGAAGCACCGAGTGGTTCCCGGCACAGTCATCGTTTCGCGAAGTAGCCCAGGGATCGTTTTCAGCAGCTTGCAGCATCCACAAGCGTGTGCTGCAGCTCTTCTTCTGTCAAGCACGTCTTCCGAACTGGTTCTCCTCTCGCACAGGGGAAGCAGCCTTTTGCAAAGACGCTAGAGTAAGGCACCAGGCAAACCTCAGCACAACCGGGCTTCATTGTAGCCCAGGTCTTGTTTTCAGGTTGTGCCAAAGTCGCATCGAACAGGGTGATGGTTGAAGGCAGCAGGAGTAGGTTCAAGAAGCACCGAGTGGTTCCCGGCACAGTCATCGTTTCGCGAAGTAGCCCAGGGATCGTTTTCAGCAGCTTGCAGCATCCACAAGCGTGTGCTGTAGCTCTTCTTTTGTCAAGTGCGTCTTCCGAACTGGTTCTTCTCTCGCACGGGGAAGCAGCCTTTTGCAAAGACGCTAGAGCAAGGCACCAGGCAAACCTCAGCGCAACCGGGCTTCATTGTAGCCCAGGTCTTGTTTTCAGGTTGTGCCAAAGTCGCATCGAACAGGGTGATGGTTGAAGGCAGCAGGAGTAGGTTCAAGAAGCACCGAGTGGTTCCCGGCACAGTCATCGTTTCGCGAAGTAGCCCAGGGATCGTTTTCAGCAGCTTGCAGCATCAACAAGCGTGTGCTGTAGCTCTTCCTTTGTCAAGTGCGTCTTCCGAACTGGTTCTCCTCTCGCACAGGGGAGCAGCCTTTTGCAAAGACGCTAGAGTAAGGCACCAGGCAAACCTCAGCGCAACCGGGCTTCATTGTAGCCCAGGTCTTGTTTTCAGGTTGTGCCAAAGTCGCATCGAACAGGGTGATGGTTGAAGGCAGCAGGAGTAGGTTCAAGAAGCACCGAGTGGTTCCCGGCACAGTCATCGTTTCGCGAAGTAGCCCAGGGATCGTTTTCAGCAGCTTGCAGCATCCACAAGCGTGTGCTGTAGCTCTTCCTTTGTCAAGTGCGTCTTCCGAACTGGTTCTTCTCTCGCACGGGGAGGCAGCCTTTTGCAAAGACGCTAGAGTAAGGCACCAGGCAAACCTCAGCGCAACCGGGCTTCATTGTGGCCCAGGTCTTGTTTTCAGGTTGTGCCAAAGTCGCATCGAACAGGGTGATGGTTGAAGGCAGCAGGAGTAGGTTCAAGAAGCACCGAGTGGTTCCCGGCACAGTCATCGTTTCGCGAAGTAGCCCAGGGATCGTTTTCAGCAGCTTGCAGCATCCACAAGCGTGTGCTGCAGCTCTTCTTCTGTCAAGCACGTCTTCCGAACTGGTTCTCCTCTCGCACAGGGGAGCAGCCTTTTGCAAAGACGCTAGAGTAAGGCACCAGGCAAACCTCAGCGCAACCGGGCTTCATTGTAGCCCAGGTCTTGTTTTCAGGTTGTGCCAAAGTCGCATCGAACAGGGTGATGGTTGAAGGCAGCAGGAGTAGGTTTAAGAAGCACCGAGTGGTTCCCGGCACAGTCATCGTTTCGCGAAGTAGCCCAGGGATCGTTTTCAGCAGCTTGCAGCATCCACAAGCGTGTGCTGCAGCTCTTCTTCTGTCAAGCACGTCTTCCGAACTGGTTCTCCTCTCGCACAGGGGAAGCAGCCTTTTGCAAAGACGCTAGAGTAAGGCACCAGGCAAACCTCAGCGCAACCGGGCTTCATTGTAGCCCAGGTCTTGTTTTCAGGTTGTGCCAAAGTCGCATCGAACAGGGTGATGGTTGAAGGCAGCAGGAGTAGGTTCAAGAAGCACCGAGTGGTTCCCGGCACAGTCATCGTTTCGCGAAGTAGCCCAGGGATCGTTTTCAGCAGCTTGCAGCATCCACAAGCGTGTGCTGCAGCTCTTCTTTTGTCAAGTGCGTCTTCCGAACTGGTTCTCCTCTCGCACAGGGGAAGCAGCCTTTTGCAAAGACGCTAGAGTAAGGCACCAGGCAAACCTCAGCGCAACCGGGCTTCATTGTAGCCCAGGTCTTGTTTTCAGGTTGTGCCAAAGTCGCATCGAACAGGGTGATGGTTGAAGGCAGCAGGAGTAGGTTCAAGAAGCACCGAGTGGTTCCCGGCACAGTCATCGTTTCGCGAAGTAGCCCAGGGATCGTTTTCAGCAGCTTGCAGCATCCACAAGCGTGTGCTGTAGCTCTTCTTTTGTCAAGTGCGTCTTCCGAACTGGTTCTTCTCTCGCACGGGGAAGCAGCCTTTTGCAAAGACGCTAGAGCAAGGCACCAGGCAAACCTCAGCGCAACCGGGCTTCATTGTAGCCCAGGTCTTGTTTTCAGGTTGTGCCAAAGTCGCATCGAACAGGGTGATGGTTGAAGGCAGCAGGAGTAGGTTCAAGAAGCACCGAGTGGTTCCCGGCACAGTCATCGTTTCGCGAAGTAGCCCAGGGATCGTTTTCAGCAGCTTGCAGCATCCACAAGCGTGTGCTGTAGCTCTTCCTTTGTCAAGTGCGTCTTCCGAACTGGTTCTTCTCTCGCACGGGGAAGCAGCCTTTTGCAAAGACGCTAGAGTAAGGCACCAGGCAAACCTCAGCGCAACCGGGCTTCATTGTAGCCCAGGTCTTGTTTTCAGGTTGTGCCAAAGTCGCATCGAACAGGGTGATGGTTGAGGCAGCAGGAGTAGGTCAAGAGCGAGTGGTTGTCATCGTTTCGCGAGTTCGTTTTCAGCAGCTTGCAGCATCCACAAGCGTGTGCTGTAGCTCTTCTTTGTCAAGTGCGTCTTCCGAACTGGTTCTTCTCTCGCACGGGGAAGCAGCCTTTTGCAAAGACGCTAGAGTAAGGCACCAGGCAAACCTCAGCGCAACCGGGCTTCATTGTAGCCCAGGTCTTGTTTTCAGGTTGTGCCAAAGTCGCATCGAACAGGGTGATGGTTGAAGGCAGCAGGAGTAGGTTCAAGAAGCACCGAGTGGTTCCCGGCACAGTCATCGTTTCGCGAAGTAGCCCAGGGATCGTTTTCAGCAGCTTGCAGCATCCACAAGCGTGTGCTGTAGCTCTTCTTTTGTCAAGTGCGTCTTCCGAACTGGTTCTTCTCTCGCACGGGGAAGCAGCCTTTTGCAAAGACGCTAGAGCAAGGCACCAGGCAAACCTCAGCGCAACCGGGCTTCATTGTAGCCCAGGTCTTGTTTTCAGGTTGTGCCAAAGTCGCATCGAACAGGGTGATGGTTGAAGGCAGCAGGAGTAGGTTCAAGAAGCACCGAGTGGTTCCCGGCACAGTCATCGTTTCGCGAAGTAGCCCAGGGATCGTTTTCAGCAGCTTGCAGCATCCACAAGCGTGTGCTGCAGCTCTTCCTTTGTCAAGTGCGTCTTCCGAACTGGTTCTTCTCTCGCACGGGGAAGCAGCCTTTTGCAAAGACGCTAGAGTAAGGCACCAGGCAAACCTCAGCGCAACCGGGCTTCATTGTAGCCCAGGTCTTGTTTTCAGGTTGTGCCAAAGTCGCATCGAACAGGGTGATGGTTGAAGGCAGCAGGAGTAGGTTCAAGAAGCACCGAGTGGTTCCCGGCACAGTCATCGTTTCGCGAAGTAGCCCAGGGATCGTTTTCAGCAGCTTGCAGCATCCACAAGCGTGTGCTGTAGCTCTTCCTTTGTCAAGTGCGTCTTCCGAACTGGTTCTTCTCTCGCACGGGGAAGCAGCCTTTTGCAAAGACGCTAGAGCAAGGCACCAGGCAAACCTCAGCGCAACCGGGCTTCATGGTAGCCCAGGTCTTGTTTTCAGGTTGCGCCAAAGTCGCATCGAACAGGGTGATGGTTGAAGGCAGCAGGAGTAGGTTCAAGAAGAACCGAGTGGTTCCCGGCACAGTCATCGTTTCGCGAAGTAGCCCAGGGATCGTTTTCAGCAGCTTGCAGCATCCACAAGCGTGTGCTGCAGCTCTTCTTTTGTCAAGTGCGTCTTCCGAACTGGTTCTTCTCTCGCACGGGGAAGCAGCCTTTTGCAAAGACGCTAGAGCAAGGCACCAGGCAAACCTCAGCGCAACCGGGCTTCATGGTAGCCCAAGTATTGTTTTCAGGTTGTGCCAAAGTCGCATCGAACAGGGTGATGGTTGAAGGCAGCAGGAGTAGGTACAAGAAGGACCGAGTGGTTACCGGCACGAGTCATTGTTTCGCGAAGTAGCCCAGGGATCGTTTTCAGCAGCTTGCAGCATCCACAAGCGTGTGCTGCAGCTCTTCTTTTGTCAAGTGCGTCTTCCGAACTGAATCTTCTCTCGCACGGGGGAGCAGCCTTTTGCAAAGGCGCTAGAGCAAGGCACCAGGCAAACCTCAGCGCAACCGGGCTTCATGGTAGCCCAGGTCTTGTTTTCAGGTTGTGCCGAAGTCGCATCGATTAGGGCGATGGCTGAGCTCAGTTCAAGAAGCACCGAGTGGTTCCCGGTACAGTCTTTTGTTCACGAATTAGCCCAGGGATCGTTTGCAGCAGCTTGCAGCATTCACAAGCGTGTGCTGTAGCTCTTCTTCTGTCAAGTGCTTCTTGCGAACTGAATCTTCTCGCGCACGGTTTTGCAAAGGCATTAGAGTAAGGCACCAGGCAAACCTCAGCGCAACCGGGCTTCATTGTAGCCCAGGTCTTGTTTTCAGGTTGCGCCAAAGTCGCATCGAACAGGGTGATGGTTGAAGGCAACAGGAGTAGGTACAAGAAGCACCGAGTGGTTACCGGCACAGTCATCGTTTCGCGAAGTAGCCCAGGGATCGTTTTCAGCAGCTTGCAGCATCCACAAGCGTGTGCTGCAGCTCTTCTTCTGTCAAGTGCGTCTTCCGAGCTGGTTCTTCTCTCGCACGGGGAAGCAGCCTTTTGCAAAGGCACTAGAGTAAGGCACCAGGCAAACCTCAGCGCAACCGGGCTTCATTGTAGCCCAAGTATTGTCTTCAGGTTGTGCCCAAGTCGCATCGAACAGGGTGATGGTTGAAGGCAGCAGGAGTAGGTTCAAGAAGCACCGAGTGGTTCCCGGCTCAGTCATCGTTTCGCGAAGTAGCCCAGGGATTGTTTTCAGCAGCTTGCAGCATCCACAGGCGTGTGCTGCAGCTCTTCTTTTGTCAAGTGCGTCTTCCGAACTGGTTCTTCTCTCGCACGGGGAAGCAGCCTTTTGCAAAGACGCTAGAGCAAGGCACCAGGCAAACTTCAGCGCAACCGGGCTTCATGGTAGCCCAGGTCTTGTTTTCAGGTTGCGCCAAAGTCGCATCGAACAGGGTGATGGTTGAAGGCAGCAGGAGTAGGTGCAACAAGGACCGAGTGGTTCTCGGCACGAGTCATCGTTTCGCGAAGTAGCTCAGGGATCGTTTTCAGCAGCTTGCAGCATCCACAAGAGTGTGCTGCAGCTCTTCTTTCGTCAAGTGCGTCTTCCGAACTGGTTCTTCTCTCGCACGGAGGAGCAGCCTTTTGCAAAGGCGCTAGAGCAAGGCAAGGCACCAGGCAAACCTCAGCGCAACCGGGCTTCATGGTAGCCCAGGTCTTGTTTTCAGGTTGTGCCAAAGTCGTATCGAACAGGGTGATGGTTGAAGGCAGCAGGAGTAGGTGCAAGAAGGACCGAGTGGGTTCCCGGCACAGTTATCGTTTCGCGAAGTAGCTCAGGGATCGTTTTCAGCAGGTTTCAGCATCCACAAGCGTGTGCTGCAGCTCTTCTTTTGTCAAGTGCGTCTTCCGAACTGGTTCTTCTCCCGCACGGGGAAGCAGCCTTTTGCAAAGGCGCTAGAGCAAGGCACCAGGCAAACCTCAGCGCAACCGGGCTTCATGGTAGCCCAGGTCTTGTTTTCAGGTTGTGCCAAAGTCGCATCGATTAGGGCGATGGTTGAGCTCTGCGAGGAGTAGGTTCAAGAACCACTGAGTGGTTCCCGGCATGAATGATTTTGTTGCGAAGTAGCCCAGGGATCGTCAGCTTGCAGCATTCACAAGCGTGTGCTGTAGCTCTTCTTCTGTCGAGTGCGTCTTCCGAACGGATTCTTCTCTCGTCGCGCGGGGAAGCAGCCTTTGCCAAAGGCGCTAGAGTTAGGCACCAGGCAACCCACCGATCTTCGTGACAGACAAGCAGCCCATCCCCAGAGCTCCAGCGAGAAGATCGCGGGGAAGTCTGTAGACGTGGTCGGGTCAAGGCGTTGTAGAACGGCAAGGTCAATGGCCACTCCACCGCTGCTAGTGGCAACCTTGCTCCGATTAAGGGCAGTGTTATCACTTGCTGGGGCATCGCAGGTGCAGCTCACCAGGTCGTTGCGCTTCCTTGGTCATGGCCCGGGCTTCCTGGCTTCTCTGAATGCCTACACAGGTGGCCATCTGAAATGGCGGTTGTGCCTTGATAATCCGAAGGCTCGAGCGATCGATAATTCCCGAGTGCTCGGGTTATCTCGGGTTATTGTTGCTGCCTAGATGCTTGCATTTTCCTTGCAGCCTCGCCTGACCTTGTCGAGTGTGGGCACTGGAAGCCTAGAAAGCTTGCGTGTGTCACACTTTGGCTGTCGGAGTTTAGCTGTGGTTGGAAACCATGAGCCCTTGGCGTTGGAGAGGCCTGGGTTTTGAATCGATTTCCCAGGCCGTTTAGACGCTGAGAAATGACATTCACAGTAATCTTGAGAATAGGTGGGTGGCCGAAGCAGGCTGCCACAAGCCGTGAATTCCAAAATCCCAAGGACAAGAGTTGTAGCGAGAAGTACGAGCCAATCCTCAAGGACCTGGGTCCGATGTCTTGTTGAGTTCATTGCCTTTGCTTTCGTATGGTCAGGCTCTTCCTTTCTAGGTTGTGATTCTCATCGGCTTGCGGGACATGGAGCTACTACTAGCCGGTGGCGACTGTTTCGCTTCGAACATGCTTCGCCTTGTGATGAGGCTGTAGTACGGCTTGCGACCTTGAGGCTGTGCAAGAATCCAGCAGCCGAACATCGGGAGAGTGCGCGAGAGGGTGTGGTGTCTGTCCGTGGCTTGGGCCAAGCTCCCGTGCCTGAATGGAGGACATGGGAGTGAACTACTTGATTCGGAAGGCAGCAGACGCGAAGACGCGCCTTGGACGATTATGGCTACTGATGCGCACAGGGACTCTGCTTCGAGCCTCAATTGCAAGGTCCGTGCTGGTCATCAGCAAGTCTGCTACCCATGTCAACTTTGTGGTCAAGAACCTCGTGACCGTGGAGGATCTCTTGCCGGTAGATGGCGCCTGGGTCCCTAAGCCTGTCCCTCCGGCTGGTCGGATGCGCGGCGAGATGTGCCTTGGCTTTTCACGAAGACTGCGATGCTCTGCGACTCGCCCTTTCCTGAGAGGGATGAAGTATGGGTTGGGAGCTTGGAATCAGGCGCCTGCGCCTGACCAAGTCCACCGAGAACGAGCTGGACTGTCCTTGAGGGTCTTGCGCCCTCTGCCTTCGGCTCAGCCTGGTTGCGTCCGTTGCAGGAGATGGTCACCGAATTCCCGCCTGGTGAAGGTGGTCTCTGTGACACGTCACTGGCCTCGGCTTTCGTAGCCTGTTCGTATGCATGTATCAAGAAAGACTGCGCCTGAAAAGAGCGGGTGCCATGGCAGTTGGGTAGCGCAGTAGCCAGCGTAATGTCTGGCCTGGAGTAGCTGCAGAACGATTCAAGGTTGGTTGTCGATGACGACGGGAACTCCTTCTCCAGACGGGTGGTGCGCAAGCGAAGTGATGGGACGCAGTTGGAGTGTACTCGTGTGTTCCGACGCATGTCCTGAGCCCCTTTAGGCTTACAACATGCCTTCAACCCCACTTGAGAAGATCAGTCTTAGAGTCTTGCAGTGTTCTCAGTAAGATAGTTACGGACCGATCGTACAGCGGGGTCTGACCACCGGAAGATCCAGAGCGGCAACAAACAAGACGGACGTGACGAGCCCTATGACATGCTGCGCACAGCTGCTCACACGATTCAGGAATCCGTGTTCTTGCCTTGTCGAAGCTTGAAAATCCAAGAGGCTCCTGCGACAGTGCTGTGAGGAGTTGCTGCCGCCATTTTGGGGCTCAGCTGACATGAGCTCTATAGCTTCCCCTCTGCCAGAGGAAGCTCTCCGTCCGACAACCCGTAGCCACAAACCCAAAAGTCAGTGCAACTGGCACCTGCAAGAGCGTATATTCACTACTCCACAGACCCCTCCCCTGCCCCGAGCCACCCCGAAAAGGACGCTGCGGGCATAGCTGGCCGAGATTCTGGCATGTCTCCATCGCTGCTGCTCTGGACCCTGCTGGCTTTCCGAACCAGGCGCAGATGTGCAACTGTGGGATGTGCTGGGTTCTTGTTCAAGTGGCAGGTGCGGCGATGCTTCGCCGAATGCGTCGCCGAATGCCTCGGATGCTTTGACCGCGCCGTTTTCGCTGCCTCTGGGAGTCCTCGGAGCCTTTACACCCGACAGTGCAGCGATGCTTTTGGCGGTGCTGGCTGCCGACTTGGACTTCCGGACTCTTGGGCCGCGCTTTGGCTTTGTTTGCGTCTCGTGCCTTTGATTGTGCTTTGTTTTGGTGCCAAGGAAGAACTGGGAGCCTTCCGTAGCCAGCCGCTACGGCCCTCCGATTGTCGAGATTCCAGGTGGCTTGCATCCGAACCTGACAGCGATCACTCTACGGGGCGGGACCACCGCTGGCAAGCAGGATGTGGGGGTGGCCACCGCTTTGGACATGATGTGGGGGCTCGATGGTGAGATGCCTGTCATAGGGCTGATTGGTGCCATGTATTCCTCGGTGTCGATGCCCATTGCCACTGTCAGCGCTATCCAGCAGGTGCCGCAAGTCTCACCGTCTGCAACGAGTCCGGCCCTATCCAACAAGGATGCATATCCCTTCTTCCTAAGAACCGCTCCGCCAGACAGCTTGCAGGCTCGAGCTTTTTGGAGCTGGATCCTTCATCACGATGTCCCTTTGGTGGCGTGCGTCTACACGGCGGAGGGCTATGGTCAAGGCTTGTATGATGCTCTCAAGGAGCTCGCACGCGCGAATGACCAGCAAGAGCGAATTCAGGGCCAAGCGCTCCGTTACATGCCTCAGGACTTTGTCCAGGAAGAGGCCAGAGCGGTTGCAAAAGCAGCTCAGAAGATAGGTTCTCGCTTCCTGTTTTTGTTCTTGAGCTGGAGCCTGGGAGTGAAGACTTGAGCAGGAGTGCTATAAGTGTTTACGTGTGTGCTTTTTTGAGAGAAGAGAAGCGCTGTTGGCCACCTCGGCTTCTTCGGAAAGCTGCTGTGAGCCTCTGAGCTGCTCAGGAGCATGGCCGGGGATTTCCTGAAGGTGTTGGACTCAGCGGGGATGTTTCTGGGTGGCTGGCAGTTTCTGGGGTCTGATACATGCGCTGATCACATCATTGAGAGACAGGGACAGGGCCAGGGGCCCCTGGGCTTCCAGTTTATCAGGGCGAGTGGCAAGGGAGCCTTGTTCGAAGACTTTGAGCGGCTGTGGAAGCTTCTTGAAGCGGAGGAAGGCTTAGAGGCAGCCCTTCGGAGCAAGTACAGGCTGGGGGCCTCAATAATCACCTATACTAGTTTGGGGGTCCCTTATCAGAATTATAGAACAATATACCCCAAAACCCTATTCCCAAATACTAAGGGCGTTAAAGTGCAGGCTGGAGAACATGAGGGAGCCCATGAGTGTTGGGGCTATCGAGAACATGAGCAGAGAGGTTCATGGCCTCAATGCCTATTTTGCCTTCTCCTTCGATGCCTTTTACGTCTTCGTCTTGGCCATAAACCAGCTCCTGCATGAAGGAAGGGCGACGGAGGAGATTCGGGGCCGACTTCTCCTTGAAGAGATGCGCCGTGTGAGCTTCCTTGGGGTCTCTGGGGAGGTGGCCTTCGATGAGAACGGAGATCGCTTGGCAGCCTATGAGCTCCTGCACATGAATGCGCAGTGGCAGGTAGAAGTGGCGGCGTCCTTCAGTGCCACCACTCAACACTTCACCTTCTTTTCTAACCTGGTTTGGATGGATGGCTCCATTCAGAGCAGGCCTCCTCCTGCACTTTACGCTTGCGACGAAGGCTTCTACAAAGACGAGGAAACAAAAATCTGCCGCGTCTGTCCGAGGGGCAAGATGTGTTCTGGAGGGATTCCGGCTGTTTCTTTGCCGTGTCCACGAGGAACTTTTGCGAATGAGACAGGCTCTAGAAACTGCAGTCTCTGCAGTTCAGGCAGCTTTGCAGCCGACGTGGGTTCAGAGCAATGTGTGCCATGTTTGCCTGGCTATGAAGCTCCACTCCGAGGGATGGAAGCTTGCAGAAGGTGCGAGCCTGGCAGCTACATGCCCTTTACAGGGAGCCCCCAATGCCTATCCTGCAACAAGAACCAGATCACCAACGAGAGCGGCGCCACATCCGAGTCCGAGTGCCTCTGCCCAGATGGATCTTTCATGTGTGCTGACCGTGGTTGTGTTCCATGCCCTGAAGGACTCTTCTGTCCGAAAGGCCTTGATCCTCCGCTACAGCAGGGCGGCTTCTGGGTAGCGGATGGAGACCCAGCCTCCCCCTGTGACTTCTCCGTCTTCCGCTGTAGGGATCGATTTCAGTGCCCTGAGGGGCTCATGGGAGCCTGTGCTGATGGCCGGGAAGGGAGAGCCTGCAACAACTGCAAGGTCAGCCATTTCCCTGAGGCCGGGGCTTGTCAGCCCTGCGAACGCTCTGATGCACTACCAGCAGTCCTCTTGTTGATCCTAGTGCTGGTCATCTTGATCTTGCTCAGCATCTCGAACCAGGATCCGAACCATGTGCGTGGCGAAGCAGCATCCAGTCCTTTCAGAGCTCTCAGTCCGGAGTTCCGAACAGGTTCACACATCAACACATCCTGTGCAACCCCTGCATCACTTCTATGTCTTCCTCCGCTTCAGCCAGTATCGCAAGCACATAGGAAAATCTTTCACGGGCGAAGCTACATGTTCTCATCTTCCATGCTACCGAAAGTCAATGGCTGCACGCCCCATCGTCGTCCACCCTTTTGCAGGTGGGTGTGAGGCTTCCGCCCTCGTTTTTCCTTTAATGCAAGCATACAGCCTGGCAAACTCCATCGAGCGTCCTACATGCATTCGCCTTTGCTCAAGTTTGCAAGCTCCGCACCAGCAAACGTATTGCCTGCAGGATCGTTTCTGGATTCTAGATTTAACAAGAACCTGCATTATGTGCTCATCTTACGGAGCGAGCTAAGATACTGACTGGCAAACTGCGTCGAGGAAGCTGCATGTCATGTATTATCTCTTGTTCATACCTTGCCACCCTTTCCACCCAAAGTGGACACAATGCCTGAGTGATCGTGTCAAGACTCAGCAAGAGCTACATTTTCGAGACTTCCCTCATATTTTGCTCTCGCTTAGGTCGTCCACGCATGTTGCCACTAGACAGCTCCCGCGTAAAGCATCGTGCAGCGTGGAAATCGAGCCCCGCGTGCCGTGTCACGTGTTGTTTGGACATCGAGCTACTGCTTTGACAATGCCCGCGTTTGCCTAAGCTCTCATGTGATGTCGAGAGTCCAGACATGTACGTACTGTACTTAGTCTTGAAATTGAGCTCTTGCGTGGAGTGTCCTGCTGTCCTGCCCCAGTCTTAAGGATAACGGAGCATTCAAAAAGCTGATCTGCACACACATATCAAAATTGAATCTTTGCGGACTAGCACATCATGTCCTCGTCCCGTAGTGTTCATATCTTCCCCCACAAGGTCTGAACACGTTGACAGCAGCTTCGATTACCAGCCAGCTGATTATGTCGATTCAAGCCTTGTCTTCAATCAGGGAGCTTTCAATCCAATGGCAGGAACCAGTGAAGACGTTGATGGACCTCACCAAAGTTATGACCTTCGATTTGCATGTCCTGAAGATCACGTGCATCTATGGAACCGACAGTCCTTTGATTCACTTTGCAAGTCAGCTTCTTGCATGTCCAGCCGCTTGTATATTCCTGTTCCTGAGCTGGCTTTTGTCGAAGATGGCCGGTCGGCCAAAGCCCTTCAATGCGTTAATACACAAGTGCGGCGTCTTGGTTTTTGCATTCTTTTTGTCGATCACCCGGAGCACCATAGTTCCTTTCCAGTGCATTTCAAGTCCAAACGGGAGCACCTCAATGGTGTCGGATCCTGGTATCATCTGCTACCAGTCTCAAGAGCATGCGCTTCTCATTGCGCTGGCAGTGGCAGGCCTGGCGAGTCCAAACCCTCAACTTGTTTCTGCTTTCTTCTGGAGGGCCCCTCTTCAGGCATCCTGACGCAGTCTGCAGCTTTTCTGGCATGGACCACCTTCATCACCGTCATGTACCCCTCACATGTGGCCAGCGGCAGAGGCCTTGTCTTCGCAAGCAGGTATCGTTTCTTCTTCAACAGGTTCAAGCCGGAGAGGTACTATTATGGTGCTGTGGCTGAAGTTAGGAGCACTTTGTGGGAAAGTGGTTCTTTCATAAAGCGCCGTGTCTTGTCTTGTGCGAAGCCGCGTTCAAGCGCGGTGAGGTTTGGCCCTTGTGTATCGCAGTGCCCTCGTGGCTCTTCTCCCGATTGCGCTTGTCGACCTACCAGAGCTTCAAGTACCAGTGATGGGCGGAATTCTGCTTGTCGTCAACAACTTACAGGCTCACATGTGGCCATGGCGCACACCGAGCGCCAATCTCGTGGACCTGATTTTGACAGCCTTCCTAATTGTGGTCCTCTTGGGTGCTGGGCCACTGCTGTTGATGGACTCGGAGCAGTCTATCAGAGTGTTGGGCTGGTTGCTCTGCTTGCCGGTGATAGGGACCTTGCTGGTGGGATTCGTGGGGCTGACAAGAGCCGGCATGAAGGACGTCCTCATGAGGCGAAGCCGTCTCTTCGGCGTCTTCCTTTGCCACCACAAAGGCGGCTCGGGAAGCCTCTGTCGACTCATGAAGCTCCTCATCGGAAAGCATCCGGGCCGGGACAGAAGCCTCGCATAGCTGCATAGCTTCGCTTTGTATACGCATGCGCCTGGCTTTCTCCTTTTTTGAGTTCCGCTGCTCAGGCAGTGCTCTTGCCGCGTGTTCCTGGACTGCGACCACTTGGAGAGCCTCGACTTTCTCTTGGACATCATAAGGACGTCAACCAGCAGCGTGGTGGTCGTGCTGACGCCCGAGTTGCTGAAGAGAGCTTGGGTTCTGCAGCACCGCTTTTTTTTTGGGCTTTTGGGCCTCTGATAAAGGGAGAGGTCAAGGGCTGATGGGGGCCGGGGGGCCGGAGTAAGGAGTATGGTGTGCTGGAGAGATTGCCACGGCATGGAAGAATGGAATCACGACCGTGCCATTGCTCTGCGAGGGCTTTGAGCCTCTGTCAGATGAGGCGCAGAAGCTCATTCCAAGGCTTTGGACAGCCCAGGAGAAGCAGAGCCTGGCCAACCTGGGAGTGCAGATGGAGGATGTGTCCGCAGCCTACGCCTGGCTCCAACACGAGCTCACTCCCCTTGAGATGCCCCGGTTTGGGCCAGCCGGGCACTTACGAAGGGCGCTCGCTAGCCGCTAGCGTCGCGCCACACATTCACGTGCGCGTGTGGGTTGTGAGAGATGCGAGAGCCAAGATCTCTGGGCGGGAGCAAGCGGTCACAGAGATGCTGAAGCGCTGTGGCCTCCAACAGAGCTGGAAAATGGAAAGCCTCGCCGCCTCCTGGGGCCTGCCAGCGTCTTGCCTATCTTTGGGCTGGCCAGCAAAACACTGTGCCACGTCTGTCTGTGCTTTAGAAACAGCTTCACGACGTCAGGTTCAATCTACAAGGGCACGGATCCTGGTTGCAAGTTCCGTGGGAGATGCGGAGTCCCTGTCTGCTTGTGAGGCAGCGACGAAGAAACGGACGAGAGCGAGGGAAGCAACATAATACAATAACCTCAGTGGAATACGGAAGCCAGTGGTAGTCTAGTAAGCACCAAGCGCCCTCGAAGTTTCCAGAAGCCTTCCGACCGGAGCTCTTGCTTGGAGGTCTTCAAGGAGACGCTGCCCGACTCAAGCGTCTCTTGGGTTTCTGGTTGCGGGTGTTGAGAGACCAAAAAAGCATACTTCGGAGCGGTCTACTGCCTGCTTCTTAGTAGAGAATGGGGGAATGGGTTACGGGGACTACTATTGGGGGATTATATGGGACTACTATCGGGACCCATTCCGCCATGCCCTACTAAGAACCAGACAGTCTATGATGTGTGTCTCTGCAGGAGTTGCTGCAAGCTCACATGCAAGTTGAGTGCGCGGTGGTTCAGACGTCTGAAGAAATGACGAGCTGGAGACCATGGGCGTACTATCTCGTGATTTTGCTTTTCCGGGGAATCTTTCGAGACTCTGGTTTTGCTCAGATCCTCCTGAATGCTTACAGTCCTTCTTGTAATCGCAGCTTGGACATTGTGTCGGTCATCGCTGACAGCCACTTCGACTTTCCTGCTCTATCCGACATGGACGCCAGCCTTCTCGAAGTTCCTGGCAAACACATCCGCATTGAAGCTCCTTTGCTAGAATAGGATAAAAAGGCTGCCAAATGACTCTGTGAAATGAGCCCGCAATGTTCGAGGCGCTCATGAAGGAAGTCCTCAGCACGCTGGCATTGCCCTTTTCAGCAGTGGCATCAGAAGGTTTGCAGAAGCAACAGGTGCTGGAGATCGCAAGCCAAATCCGCAGGTATCAGGACCGGGCTGCCTTCGGGAGCAGCATGACCAACATGTTTTGCGCGTGTGCACACCCATAGCCAGAGGCATCGTGCAAGAGAGCAGGGACTGCTGGGAGTTTCAGAGGACCCTCTCAGCGCCGCCGCACGGGACGAAGCCGAGGATGCGGATGCTGATCGCTCACCCGAGGCCCTCCGGGCATGTCCAAGGGCGGCGCCGAGCTGTTAGCAGCCCGTAAAGTGAATGCTCTTGGCGGCTAGGCGTCTATTCAGCCCCATCGAGATTACTTGTCGGCCTTCGAGTTTCCGGAGGCTGTGTGAGGGTCGCAGAGTCAGCTGTGGTTCTGCCTCGCTTGGAATGCTAGGCCTCCAGCGCCAATCCGATCCATACCGGCAACAGATGCAAGGTGAAGTCTTCCCTGTAGCAGATGGCACAATAAGTTTTCAAATGTCTCTGCTCACCCGCTTCATCTTCTCAGCTTGATTTCACAGATGCTTGCAAAGGCAGGCATGCAGTTTCTTAAGGTGAAGGGAGTTCCCTGTGGGGGATGGCAACACCACCTCAATTGCCTTTGCCCACCCACTTCATCTTCAGCTTAATTTCACAGACTGGAACAGCTTGCTAAAGGCAGGCTTGCAGTTGCATAAGATAAGGTCTTCCCTGGAGCAGACGGCAACGCCACTTTTTCAAATGACTCTGCTCACCCGCTTCATCTTCTCAGCTAGATTTCAGACATTGGTACAGCTTGTGGCCAGTCTCACGCAAGGCAGGCTTGCAGTTGCGCACGCTTGTCAATTGCCAGACACGGCCACTTGCCCAAGAACAACTTCTGCTTATGCTCACTCTGGATACCATGACCATTGATAATAACAGCCAAGTTAAATGATTTGGAGCACTTTCTATCCGCTAGCTGGAACGACAAGACAACAGGAGTGCTCAAACAAGTTGAGCAAGTGCGCTGAATGAAAATGAACATCTTGGCGATTCATTCGTCTACTATTAAGATCTGGTTCTCTGAATCTTGTTTTTGATATTTCTAATGACCTTGGGTCATTTAATCTTTGGATTGCCACGCTTTTTGCTGTGCTAAAGTGCTGAATAGTATTATTCGTACCGGCGTATCTATGAATTTTAACTGATCC